CTTCCCCTGCGTGGGGAGGGGTTTTGGGGTGACCCTCTCCCCAAATTTCCCCTACAGGGGGAAGTGCAGCGTGACGCTGCTGAACGAGACCGACATCCTGGGGCAGTACCTGGAGAAGGAGGTGAGCTCTGTGTGCCCCAAAATGGGTCTGGGGGGGGATTTTGGGGGTCTCCCCACCCTGCTGAGCCCCCCCAATGTGCCCCCTCCCCACAGGATTGCTTCTTCTACTCGCTGGTCTTCGACCCCGTGCAGAAAACGCTGCTGGCAGACCAGGGCGAGATCAGGGTGGGCTGCAAGTACCAGGCTGAGATCCCCGAGCGTCTGGCCGAAGGTTTGGGGGGTTCGGGGGGGCTCTGGGGGGTGCAGGATGGGGAGGGGGGTCATCCTGACAGCCCCCCCAAACCTCCCCCAGGTGAGTCGGACAACCGGAACCAACAGAAGATGGAGATGAAGGTGTGGGACCCCGACAACCCCCTGACGGACCGGCAGATCGACCAGTTCCTGGTGGTGGCTCGGTGAGGGGGGATCGGGGGGGGTCGGTGGGGGGTCAGGGGGATTGGGGGGACCCTGCTGACCCCCCCATGTCCCCCCCAGGGCCGTGGGGACGTTTGCCCGGGCGCTGGACTGCAGCAGCTCCATCCGCCAGCCCAGCCTGCACATGAGCGCGGCCGCAGCCTCCCGGGACATCACCCTGGTGAGGGGGGACCCCAGCCCCCTGGGCACCCCAAAACCTCCCTCAGAACCCTCAGTTCCCACTGGGAGACCCCCAAACCTCTCTAGAACCTCCTCATTTCTCACTGGGAGACCCCAAAACTTCTTCTGAACTCCTCATGTCCTGTTGGGACATCCAAAGATTTTTTTATATCTCACATATCTCAACTGAGACACCCTAAAACCCCTTAGAACTCCTTATTTTTTACTGGGACACTTTTTCAAACCTTTTCATTTTAAATTGGAGCAGCCCAAAATATTCTTTAGAACTTCCCATTTCCCACTGGGACACCCCAAAACCTCCTTAGAACCTCCCCAAAATTTCCCATACACCCCTTAGATGACCCCAATGCTTTCCTGGGATACCCCAAATCCCCTTCAGAGCCCCCAGAGCCCCCCAAACCTGCCCCAAACCCCCTGTTAGAGCCCTTCCAGTGCTCCCAGTTCCACACCATGGACACGCTGCAGAGGAACGGCTACGACCTGGCGCGGGCCATGGCCACGCTGGTGCC